CCAAAGACCCATAAAAATCTGTTCTTTATAATGAAGAATAACAGAAGTTCCAAGAACACTCTTTCTTTCTTCACATATGAGGACTGCGTGGGAGTAAGCTAGTCAGTGCATAAAAGTTGCGACAAGCTTACAAAAACACCTAACCCAACAAGAACCGATACTCATGGCCAAGGGCAGAGCTAGAGGGCCTAATACGGGTTAAGCCGAACACAGTAGCTTTTGCTCAAACAGTGTCTCTGTGTTAAAAACATCATTAAATATGAATAAATATTAAATTTAGAACCAAGTTATTAGCACTTGAAGTCGTTTTAGAACCCATAACATTGAAATCATGGCTTCGCCTCTGCTCATGTCACTCTTTTTACCACATGCTGGAGGTTATTTTTCATTAGAGGAAAACTAATCAGTATCAAGTAGTATTAAACTCCATTCATAAGAAAGCTACTCAGCTTGTGTTATCAGTTGTAACCCAAATCTCCAATCTCTCTTTCAAGTGTGCTCTAGGGTAAGGATCTTAAATGTTCGGTCAAGTAATAGCTCCATCATTTACGCTCAGAATAAAAAAGACGAACTAATCAAAAGAGTAAATTTAGTGTTATGCTTCAATAATTTCAGCAAAAATCTTCAAAAAACATTGATGGCACGCTCATCAAAACCCACAATCAGTGCCCACAAAATCCCATCGAAACAGAAGTCAAAAGCAGTAAATAGAAAACCCAACCCAACAGATAGAAGTAAGTTACCGTCCAATAAGTTGGAGGAATTGAGACATGCCATTGCAATAAGTGGTTTTGCCGGAACCAGGGGGTCCAATCACTACTTGACCAAACACCATTCTTCTTAGTTTTAGATTTTACCCTCAAAGCTCGACAATAAGTATTAAGGTTAAAACCCCAGCTGCCTTTTAGGGGAATTTATAGGCGTGGCCACTCTAATTAGAATCGAATTGGGAATTCTTGGGATTTATGCTCCTCTTCTTTTATTTTATCTTCAGCGGTATAATAATATTTATAGAATTTCTATACTGCAATTGTGTATATATATTGATATTTTTAAACAAAAGAGTAACACCATATGATATTATAATATCTTTAATTAAATTAGCAAACATGTAAAATTATATACAAATTAAAAAATTGTAGCGGTAGTCAACCGAAAATAGATGGATGTTCCTTCATGCTCATAACAAACAGAAAATTAGCATACCATTGAAGCATGTTACCCTTCCTAGCTTCTTCGTTTAATTAACAAGTGCGTATTAAGATTTAAGAGATAAGGCAAGTAGCTGCAGCTCCTAGTATATGGTTCTAAAAGATATAGACTAATAAGAGGAAAGGGACAATCGCTTGGAAATTATTATATAATTATCACGGTGTATAATTACTCTCTAATGATTTTATAGTCTAGTAAATTCTATAGTATTAGTACATTTTATAGTCTAGTAATTATATAGTATAGTGAGTACAACGACCTACTTGTTAGGCATAATGTAATTCCAAATTTTCAATGTAACTCCACCATCATGTTTTTTTTGCACATGTGTAATTAGATAGATAATTTTTCATTTCCATATAAATGTTAAATGAATTTTTTTACATGAATTTGAGAAATATGTGTATATAAAATCTAATACATAGTATTAGTATTAGTTACTAGGTATTAAAAATAATACACATTGTCCAACGCTAGTCGTTTGGTTAAAATGGAAATATGAAAATTGCCTAATTCTTAGGTCATTTTTAAGATCTTAAACTAGTTTGAACTACATATTTGATAGATTCAAATGATCGCACGTAAAAGTAAGATATAAATAACTTTTCCAAACAAGCTTAGGAGACTACTCTAAAATCTCGAGACGGACAAGACAATTACGCAAGTAAATACATTGCCAAAACACAAAATAAAAATAATTTTAAGCTAAGAATTCCTTCCACATAAAATATTTGAACTCGGAGTTGTTGGGGATTTCCCTCAAAGAGAAAACCCTCCAAAAATTGGCGTATGCCACTCAATGCAACGCGCACACGGTATTCTTTAGTAAAAGGCGAAAGAATAGTTCGCTTTGAGCTCATTGCGTAGCTGCGTAAGTTTCTGCTTAGGCTGGTGCCAACGTTAAGTAGGGGCGCCAAGCTGTTCGCTTAGTCACTTGTTTTCGATGTGGGATAGTTTCAGCTATCGAAAGTCATCTCTCGAGGAGGAATCCTTGTTCTGTTCCACCACAAAACAAAAAAGGGCTTTTGCTATTCAATGTTATCTCAATTACACTTCACATACTACTATGGTTAATGGTCCTTGAATGAGTCGTCTTAGTAGTTACTTATTACTTCTATTTGTTTCACATTTATTAAATGTCAATTACCATTTGTTGACCAATCATTTTGTCTATAACAAAAACATGGTTTATCAATATCACTTTGTGTCAAGAAATTTTGTGTTTTTGTTGTTGCTAGTTTTAGCCCTTGTTTGAAGCTCTATAGTTCCGTAGTGAGGGAAAGTTCAGCTACAAAGGGTAGAGAGAGGCCGACGAGAGTTCTAATAATTTTTTTCCTTTCTGTACAGGTTAACTTAAGTCATATTTTTTTTCTTGCTTGAATAAAAATAGATAGAACCTTTCTTTTTTGCCATATAACAGGCAGTTCGTTTTTCGCTTTCGAATACCGAAGAGCGATTGTAAAAAGAGCCGTATATAAAACTTTAAAAGAAGATTTAAGATGGGTCTTATCCTACCTTAATATCCCAATATCCACTTTTTTTGTCATTTCAATAAACATCTAAGATTACTTGGCCGTAGAAGTTAACCTCGTGCCATTTTGTTACTTATTAGACAACTCTATTACACTGAAGGATAAAATCTTATTTTACTAAACTTTAGGATCTAAAGAACAATGGATCCCTCCATGAGGCAGATAGGTCTGAATGATTGTATTTCTAAGGACCTCGACTTCTGAACGTCTTTGGGATTCTGTCTTTCTCCATTAATACTAAGAATGTGACACTGGGGATTAAACTTATTATAACATCTAAAGGAAATATTGTGAAAATGCTCAAAATTGATATTTATGAATAACGTTTCACGGATGGATAACCCTACATGATTGTCACACGACAAATGTCATTGTTATATGTTTCGCTGATCACATTCACATACCGGTATGATATTATCTACGTCCACGTTGTTTGTCTTTATAATTTTTGCACACCCCATAAGGAAGACATTTAATAACACCCTATATTTCTTTTAAAATATTTGTTTAAACTATACCATTTATCACTTTCTTAAATTTTCTCTTAATTAACACTTCACTAAATGAATAACACAAAGTTGGACAATTATTTCATAACCGATAAGATCTATTTTTGGATATTGTTATCTACCATCAAAGAGTATGGTGGGATGAGTGAGATTCTCATACTCATAATCAGAGGTATATTTGACATGAATTTAAATTAATCGGACCAATAAATATCAAATATTTGATGGTGAAATAAGAAAGAGTATATTCTTATCTCAAACACTTAAGGGTTCGTTTGGTAGAGTGTATAAGAATAATGTTAAATAAGGTGTATTAGTTATGCAGGGATTAGTAATGCATGGGTTAATAATGCAATATTAGTTATGCAGAGATTACTTTTTATCCAATGTTTGATATTGTGTATTAAAAATTAAAATGCATTGAATAATTTTTAAGAAAATTAATTGTTTACAAAAATATCCTCCATATTCTTTAGCTTTAAGGGACTTTAGGACCATTTTGTATTTTGTCTTTAGTCATGCTATTGCATGTATTAATAGTCTTGGTATTACTAATACTATGGTTTGATATGTATTAGTTATACATAGGATAATATCAAATAGGTTGTATAACTAATACTTGCATTAGTAATAGTGTAATACATAGATTGAAAAAGTATACGAAACAAGAAATTATTAATACCAAAAACTAATGCATACTACCAAACTATACCTAGAGTAATAATAGGTTATTACAGGTGACATTTCAAACTCCCAAATCTCAAATCTTTACAGCTATTACTTCCTCTCTACTCTCCTACTGAAAAAGAAAAGAGTGCTGGCATTGACAGATCAATAATATGATTATGCTATGTGCCTCCCTTAGATGGGGTTTCTGTGTGTGGGGTTAGGTTCCCCTGATATTGGAAATTGAATTTTACAAAATCATGTCTAGCACAACTGTGTACATAAAATGGTCCAGCATAACTTTCTTTTAGGTTGTTGATAAGAATATGGTCCACCAAATAATTCAAATAAAATAAAATAAAATAAAATGAGAAGACTTGGTAATCTAACGGTGCATAATTGCAATGACAGCAGATTGACATTTCATGAGAATGTATTATGAGGATTCATGTGGCAACTTAAAAAAGGTCACATTCTACCAAATTGGGCTCCAACAACCATGTGAACTTTGATGTCTATGCAAGGAACAATCACTTCTTTCATTCATTTATTTTTACTGATTTTTTTCATAACCAATGATTTGCATTTATCAATGAAGGTTTTTACTAAGATAAATAGAGTATATTTCTAAATTATAGGAAATTAACCCAAACAGTCGCCCATCTAATTTCTTAAACCAAAAATAGACGACGGATATATAATATATGTATAATTCATGTATAATATGTGTATAATTATGTATAATCTGTGTATACGGGCTAGAAAAAATAAATAGTGAATCTGGCCGCCAAATTCAATGCTTATTTTTTCTAGCCAGTATACATAGATATTATACATTGATTAATATATATATATATTAATATATATATATATATATNTTATCTTTTAACCTCAACTTTCTTCCTTCTTGTAGTTTCAAAAAGAAAATATAATTACAGATAAGAAACTCTAAAAAATGATAAAAATATTGGAGTAAAAGAAAAGGAAAAAGTCTGCAGAGTTGTTAGGTGCTGTATACCGTGGGCCAAATGATAAAATGTCTATTTCTCTAATTTAGTTAAATTGCTGTTCTCAGCCTCATCATCATATTTCTCTGGCTTCTCATCCTTATCTTAACACCATTCTCTCTAGTGTCTTTCTCCAAAAACCAAAAACCAAGTGCTAACACAAAGAAAGGGGAAAGAGCCACAAAGACCATTTTTGTTTTCTGTAAAACTTGCTCGTATATAGCCATGGCTTTTGCAGGAACCACACAGAAATGCATGGCATGTGACAAGACTGTCTATCTGGTTGACAAATTAACTGCAGATAACAGAATCTATCACAAAGCTTGTTTCAGATGCCATCACTGCAAGGGCACTCTCAAGGTAGGATTCCCAATATTTTTTCCTTTTCATTAAAATCTTTTCCAAGAAGGGAGCTTTGGCGTAATTCTTCATGTGATCAAGAGGTCACGGGTTTGAACCAGGTCATAGGTTTGAGCCGTGGAAATAGCCTCCCGCAGAAATGCAGGTAAGGCTGCATCCAACAAACCCTTGTGGTTCGAGCATTTATTTTCAGGAGACCGAGCTGCCTGTTAAAATCTTTTCCAAGCTTAGAACAAAAAAGCACTACAGTTTTCTCATGTAATTCTTACTTAAAGATTCTATTTTGTCTTTCATGGCAATCCCAGAGATCATTTTACAGAGTTTCATCTACCTGGCATAAGAATTTTTTGTTCAGCTTAAAGTACTTTTCTTCTTTTCCTCCCTATTTCATACAAAGGTTTTGCAAGATCTAACTCCAATGTTCATTTTCAACTTGGATTGCAAAATTCAGCAATCATCAGGATTATTTCATGCAAATATTAATATGATATAACCACTCTCTGGATAGGTCTATGTGACTTGTTGAGAGTCAAATGAAGTAGATTTGAATTTTTTATTCAATAATACCAACTTATGTGTCTACTTTGGAGATGCTATTGGACTTATTGTTCAAAGTATTGGAGCTTAGATACTAATTCCTGTTCTTCAATTATATTCAATTGGCAGCTTGGCAACTACAATTCCTTTGAGGGAGTTCTATACTGTAGACCACACTTTGATCAGCTCTTCAAACAAACTGGCAGTTTGGATAAAAGCTTTGAAGGTAGAGGATAACATGGATAATTCCAAATAACATTTGCAATACAGAAATTTTATTGACAATTCAAAATATTACAGGTACACCAAAAATTGTGAAGCCACAGAAACCCATTGACAGTGAGGTAATTGACAATGAATGATCAAGTTGATTGTTTGAAACAGTAACCACAAGTAACTGACACAGAATATTACACTTCACTTACTAAATGCAATTTCAATCTTTGAAACAGAAACCACAGGTAGCCAAAGTGACAAGCATGTTTGGTGGAACAAGAGAGAAATGTTTTGGCTGCAAGAAAACTGTCTACCCAACAGAAAAGGTAACATCAGCAATTAGCAATCTTTTTGTTACATAAATCAAAAGTTCACAGCTTAACATTGTTCCATGCTAATGTTGTGTAACAAATATTAATGATTGTGTGAATAGGTATCAGTTAATGGCACGCCATACCATAAGAGCTGCTTCAAATGCAGCCACGGAGGCTGTGTAATAAGCCCTTCCAACTATATCGCACATGAGGGGCGCCTATATTGTAAACATCACCATATTCAACTTATCAAGGAGAAGGGCAACTTAAGCAAGCTTGAGGGTGACCATGAAATGAATTCCACGACAACAACAGAAGTTACTGCAGAGTCATAAACAGCCGACCAAGTTGATTGCTCCTTATCTTTCCGCGATCATGTCTTACCTATCTGCTTTATTGAAGAATCGAAGGCCTTCAGCAGCTTCCATGAATGCACTTCCTTCCCCAGCCTATGTTTTCTCTCATCTACTTCAATTAATTTGATGTTGAACTATATATTGTCTACTTTTGTGTGTAGATTTTTGACCTTTGTTTCTTGTGCTTCACTTGTATTATGTGAATGTTGAATGAGATTGAATATAACATGGTTTTGCTGTCCCAGTGCATGCAAATCTTTGCAATGCACTCTTTCAACCTCAAACTATGGAATTCTTTGTATCTCACATTATCCAAATGTTGGAAGGTGATTCTTCTCCAATTCGATTGCTCTTGTAGAGGAAATCTGGTATTAAGTTTCCCATTATCAGGACAAGAAGAGACAGGCTACTGAAACAGTATAGACTCTAATAATTTGGCCCAAGGCCTTGGAGAAACTTTTAAAGCTGTCATTTCTCCATTGCCAGCTTTTCAAGGCTAGAATGGTCTGGATGATAGTAAAATGAAGAACAAATAGTTCTTAACTGAAAAATAAACTGTACATTAAAAAATAAAAAAGTACAACCTTACCAAGTTTCTCCATTAATGTTGTTTTTGCTCCCTGCTTGTAGAATCATTCTCTCGCCCCAATATCATCCTTTCCCCTACCTGATAATTGTATGGATAGCCATACATTATACCATTAGCACTCTGGAGACTTGACAGACAGAGAAGCAAAATTGTTTGGTAGAAGGAAAGGCAATAAACCGTAACAAGAGGCTAAATTAAAACTTCAGATATAGAAACAAAAACACAAGTTTTGTGAAGAATCAGAAACTTCTCAGAATACAAAACAAATCGAAAGCAACAGTAATCAGCAGGATGTTTTAAAGTTCACAAAACTCACCAGCCATTCAATTCAGAAAAACATTTGGTGAGAGTCATGAGACAGAAGTTGCCAGTAGCTAACCACAAATTACAATCAGTATCGTGGGAGAGGGAATAAAAATATAAAATGCTACACCCACAATGAAAACTTTAAATGCTGATGAATATGAAAGATGAAGTAATCAGCTAAGCGTCTTTACACCCTTGACATGCGAAAATGAAACTGAAAGAATTCAAAAGGGAAAGTATGAAGAGTAGGAAAAGAGTTAAATCCATTCACAGAAATGGAAGCTTGAAAATATCTACTTTACATTGAAATCAACTTTTTATTCTCACGAAATGTTACAACAAAGCCAGAATCTTGCCGGCATCAAGAACCAACTAATATGTACAAAGAATATAAATTGGAAATTTCCTTCTGCACTTTCTGTTTGTCTGACCAATGTATGCGGTAAGATCAAATACTAGAAATATCTGCTGTGTCAAATATCTGACCATTTTGAGCAATATGCCTCAAGTCTATAAT